AATTGTAATCAAAATTTTAGTACCGATCTAGGGATGCTAAAATCCTGTGGTACTAAATGCCATTTAATTATATTACATTAATTTATCAAAAACAAAGTCAAAGGTCAGTGAATGGCAACCTGTGACCGCAAATTTGAACAAACAGAAACTACAAGTAAAAATTTATTATTGAAATTAAAATGAAATTCATAAATTTGAATAAAAATGTAACAAACAGTTTGTGCTTCGTTGAGTAAGAAAGTGTCTATGCGAAAATGTGAAATGTAGCCATTTGACTTAGCTTAATGTCTATCTACTAGTATGTCACCAATTTCCTGGGCCTAGCTTTGCTTTCCCAAAATATGTATGGCTAAAAGAAGCTTAATCAGATTCTAAGCAAGTCATCGATCCTAGCCAAAGCCCATCATTAACCGATGGATTTGGTAGAAATGATTGTCTTTCGAGACAACAAGCCTTTGCATTCTATACATTTATATTTCTATGGAAAGAACAAAATGAGGCTTACATTTAAAGGCCTATGCTTTGAGGCCAAGATAAACTCATTTTTGGTTTTAAGCAAAGTATATTGGAAAAGCAGTAGTCAAGAAGATGAACAAATCCCATAGGACTATCTATCCATACATTCTCAAAATTTAAAATCGCCAATATTACTTTCGCTTATTTTTTCAATCTATTTGACGTTAAGTTCAGAATTGTTTGGAAAAATTAGATGAAAAAAAAAAACAAAAAACAAAATGTACAAAATTGCAACACAATTGATTATATTTTATTTTAATTAAAAAATAAATAATATTTATTAACAAAAATGCAAGCATAAAAAATATAAAATAATATTTATAAATAAATACATATACATTTTATATGCCTTGTAATTGACTGCTCAATATTTTCAATGTATTTTTTACTGGTGTCAATAATTTGATATAATTTGGATTATAGACAGCATGCATGTAAAGCATTGCATTTTAGAATTGCTATCAAAACGTAAACTTTTATACAGTCAACTACTTTTGCCATAATTGAGTTGTATAAATACTTGCAGTGAATCATTTTAGCTAATAAAATTGTTTTTTGATTTTTTTCCACAAATTTTTAATATTCATAAATATATCTTTACTTTCTCAAGCCAAAGCAGAGTATAAAATGACTTAAATTTTTGTTATAAAAACTAATTAAAATATTTTTTTGATTTTATATACGTATATGAATTTTTTGAAAGAAGAATTATTTGTGAATCTTTTCTTGAGAAAGTTTTGTTTTGTTTTGTTTTGTTTTTATCTAAATTGCATTTTGAAAATAAAAGATACTATTCTCTTCTATAAATAACTTCTCAATAAGCTTATAAAATAAGCTACTTTATTAGAAAAAGATTGATTGTACAATAAATGAAGTATGTAAGTAATAAAAGAATACAAATTAAATTATAAAAAAGACTGAAACTAATAAAAGCAATGCATAGCTTCGATGTGAAATAAAATATAATATATATCATTTTCTTGATGAACTAATTTTGAATACTAAATATAATTTTTAACTGATTGATGATTTAAATTTAAACTGATCATAATTATTGCAGTGTAATTAATCTAATTTTCATCTAGCAGTAATTTGTTTGAAACAATTTCATTTCTGGATAAGATTTATTCTTTTTTTTCCTTCAGTTATTTAAAAAATAAGCTTCAAAATCCGCTTTATTTTTCCACCATTTTTTGAATAAAAGTTACCTTTACTAGTAGTAATTTTAAAATATAAAAATTATTATGAATCAAACAAGATTGAATGAATCCTTTTTAGTTCAAATATTTTGGAATTAAAGAATTGATCTTCTTTGATAAAGTGATTATATTTTCCAATTCAAATTAATCCAAATAGCGATTTAATCAAGCATTAAATAATTAAGACGAAAGAACACTGTATTAATGACGATAATTATTAAGAAACGATGTAATTACATAGTAACAGTAATACAAATTACTGTTATCAATGCTATGTTATTGACCATAACTGCAACAACATTATTATTGTTAACATCATAATTACTAATGTAAAATATGTTATGAACCTAATCCCACTTTTTTATTTGAATTATGCAAGTTTCTATTCACTTACGCATTTTAGCGTGTCTATGACGTCAGCTCTGAGCTAAAATCCGTTAATAGAAACTCACTAAAAACAGTAATATTTGAAAATGTTTTGTCCCATATCTTGCTTCAAAATGTAATATAATATTTAAGCAAATTAATTTAACTCATTCATTCAAAAATAATTACTTTTACAAAATTTTGGAGGAATTTTTTAAAATATTTGATTATATTATTATATTTATTTATCACTAACAAATTCTAGCATAGTAAAACCGATAAGAAATGCATTTATTCGATATACTACTGAAAACGATGTGAGGCAATAAAATCTTACAGAAAACTAGTTATTATAAAATACTGAAAATAATAGGCAGTGAAAAGTGTAATGGAATTATTCGCACTCATTGGACTACTTTTATGCAAAAGAAATGATTTCTGGCCGATTAATTCAATCATATTACAAGCAGCTCCGAAATGATTAAAAATAGTTTACGCTCAACTGCTAGTTGTATAGAAATAGGAATTTAAACGTGATCTTTTTCAAACAGAATTTACGTGTTCATTAATTTCTTCGACCACTTTTTCAGATATCAAATTGGGTTTTGAATAATTGCAAGAGTTTAGATACGATAAACTGTCGTTGTGATTTTATAAGTATATAATTGTAAATTATTTACTACATGCAAAATATGATTTAGTTCATATATTTCAATCAGTTAATGAGACTTAAGAATTTGAAAAATTCTCCTTCTTATTCGATTTGTTTATGAATAAATAATCAACTGCAAATTAAGACGACATATGACCTCTCGATGCAATTTTGAATATTTTTGAGTGAATTTGTTTAAGTAACTTACTGGGAGTTATCGAGTTTTTTGAGTTGGAAAACAAGCACGAGATGCAACAGAGCATTCTGTTGACACATTAGATGAATGTGTCAACAGAATGCTCTGTCGCATCTCGTGCTGGTCTTCTAGATTGATAATCCCACGATATTTTATTCACATTTTTTTGAATACTTCAACGCCATTTGATACTGAGCTCT